ATCCTAGAGAAATAAGAGCCATCACAGGAATAGATATATGCACACCCATGTTCACTGCAGCACTGTTCACAATAGCAAAAAGATGGAAACAACCTAGATGCCCATCAATGGACGAATGGATAAACAAATTATGGTATATCCACACAATGGAATACTACACAATGATAAAGAACAACGATAAAGCCGTGAAACATAATATGGAGGAAGCTGGAGATCATTATGCTGAGTGAATTTAGTCAGGCACAGAAGGACAAATATTGTATAAGGCCACTATTATAAAAACTCAAGAAAAGGTTTACGATGGTTACAAGGGTGTGGAGGGAGGGTGAGGGTTATTTACTAACTAGATATTAGATAAGAATCATCTTAGGTGAAGGCAAGGACAGCACACACTACAGGGGAAGTCAGCACAACTGGACTAAACCAAAGCTAAAAAGTTTTCTGAATACAATCAAACACTTTGAGAGACAGAGTAGCAGGGGTAGGGGTCTGGGAACCATGTTTTCAGGGGACATTGAGGTCAACTGGCATAACAAAGCTTATTAAGAAAATGTTCTGCATCCTACTTTGGTGAGCAGCAGCTGGGGTCTTAAAAGCTTGCAAGCAGCCATCTAAGATGCATCAATTGGTCCCAACCACCTGGAGTAAAGGAGAATGAAGAACACCAAAGACACAAGGAAAGTAGTAGCCCAAGAGACAGAAAAGGCCACATAAACCAGAGACCTCATCAGCCTTAGACCACAAGAACCAGATGGTGCCTGGCTACCACTAATGACCGCCCTGACAAGGAACACAACAGAGAGTCCCGGATGGTGCAGGAGAAAGGTGGGGTGCAGAACGCAAATTCTAGTAAGAAGACCAGACTTAATGATCTGACTGAGACTGGAGGAACCCCAGAAAGCATGGCTCCTGGATTCTCTATCATCCCAGAACGAAAACAATTTCCAAGTCCAACTCTTCAGACAGGGACTGGACTGGACTGTGGGACATAAAGTGATACTCGTGAGGAGTGTGCCTCTTAGCTCAAGTAAATACAAGAGACTAAATGGGCAACTTCTGTCCAGAGGTGAGATGGGAAGGCAGAGAGGGTTAGGAGCTGGTTAAATGGACATGGGAAATCAGGGGTGGAAAGGAGGAGTGTGCTGTCACAGTATGGGGAGAGCAATTACAGTCATATAACAGTGTATGTATAAATTTTTGTATGGGAAAAAAAGAAAAAAACCCAAACAGTACACAATAGTACAAGAGAGAAAATTTTAAAAAAAAAAAAAGGATCTCTAAGAACTAAGACTCTAAGGAGCTCTGAATATTCTAGTTTAAGAACCATTTTATCACAGTGATACCATAGATAACGTAGATTATTAACCTCACTCTACAAATTAGAAATCAGAAAATGAGAGATTTGTTAGTCAGTGGTAGGCAAGATTCAATTTCTGCTACGAAGGGAATTGAGCAACTTCCCACCGTTCTAGAATGTAAGAAAAAGTACCCTTTCCTCCAGTCAAGTGCAAAAATAAGGTCTACTCCAAAAGCTCGTGGACACACATTGGTGCCCCTCTGAGAGCATTTCTTCCCACAGCAGATGGTAGCTGGAAGCACCAGGAACACAGACAATCTAGGTGTGGTACAGCCTTAGTCTCTTACTCATGTGGCCTCAACTGACACAATGCCATTCTTTTAAGAGGGAATTTAAAACCTAGTGTAGAAGCTAGTCAGGGAAAAGAACAGGGCCCAATCTTTGCCCTCATCTCACCGAGTGTGTGTGTTTGTGTGTGTGTGTGTGACTAGAAATTACCTAGCATGTAACCAATACTAGCAGTTTGATTCCATGTGTATTCGCACACATTTTTTTAAGGGAATGCTTTTTTTAGTACTTTTCTGTACAATTTATTTTTATTATTAAATCTACTTTACAAAAACAACTCTCCTATTCAACAATGATCTTGAGTGACAGCTCATCTACTGCTTTGGGAGCCTTCACCTTCAGCACCCACACGCACGTTCAGTCTGTAGGCATTTCAGCTGGAATGCCATGGTGCCCTGGAAGCACTCTGCTACCACATTTCCTCATGCCTTACTGCTGAATGAGGGAGAGACACGACATGAAGCTGGCCTTACCTGATCTCCGTGTAGGATTTCTAAATAAAAGAAGATCAAATCTCAAAGACATATTTGGTCTGGGAGAGCCATGGTGATACCCAGATAGGAAATACAATTGTAAACAGAGGACAAATGTCCTGTGGTATGACGCATCCACTAGTTCAGTTTCTCACAGTGAAAATGCTGCCACATCCTTCTAAGGAAAAGCTCAATCTTACACAGATCTGCTTTCATGTTTCAATGTCAAGAAGAAATCCTAGAGAGACTCCAGCTGCCTAACAAGGGCAATCTAGTACTGCAGTACCAAATCTACTCTAACAGAAAATAAAGAGTCCAATGTACCCCAAAGAGACAACTACCCCAAAATACCTTACACAATTTTAATACCAGGCCAAACAGATTTAACACAAACAAAGCAAAGCAAAACAAAACAAATACTTTATTTTCACCAATTCTTATTAACACATTGACCGTATTAGAAAGTAGGGAATATATACAACATCAGTAAACCTTGCGAGAGAAGTGGCTTTCTCAAGAAAGGCTAACTAAAACTACGGATAGGATGAGAAAGTTGAGATAAAAAGAATTTCATATGCTAATAAAATCGTTCATTTTCATACTTTGAGCATTAAATTATTTTAAAATTAAAAAAATACTTACTCATTTTAACCAGTGATTAACAAATTGAGTGTGGGTTATCAAGAGTTCCTAATTTTCAATCCCTTCTTTTATGTCTCCAGAAGTTTTAATTTGCTAACCTTGCATGAAAAAGAGAAGCCAGAAAAAAAAAAACCTTCCAAAAACATGCAACATACAGCAGAATCAATAAACAACTGGCATTGTTTCCAAAAGCTAGGGAAGACCTCTTTCTTCATCAATGCCACTGAAGGTCTGAAGAGTTTCTGACTCAACTATGAAGTTACGATTACAGATTCAAAAACCAAGAAAGGGAGATGAGATACAAAGTCAGAGAAAAGTAGTAAGGCTCAAAGCCATGAAATGACCAGTTTGTACTTAATCAAAATTTTTCATACAAATGAACATGGCCACACACACAAAAAAAAACAACTATCCAGAACACATTCGAAGAAAGAGAAGAAGAAAAATCTATTAGGAGGTACAAATTCCAATCAAATACAGGAAGAGGTAGTAGTTCTTTTTGAGTCCCTACCTGAAATTCTACTACAAAACCTGTCTAACACCTTTTCTTCCTGGTGTTCCAACTAGTCATTTACAATGGATTTTACAAGCTCAGGGTGAGTTGTGGAATGAACAGTACAATAAGGTAATAATATGCAACTTGAAACCTGTTTCCTTCAGCTCCAAACCTTCCCTAGCGAAAAGAAAGTCTTACTGGAAAAAAAGAATGAAGGACAGAGTGGAAAAGGGGGAGGAAGGGGCAGAGGGACACAGGGGGAGAGCAAGAGGACTGTAAATTCAATAATACCTGAAGTCTTCTTCCCTTTTTCCGTCTTCACTGTCAGTCACCTGGGCTGTCACTTTGGAATCCAACCAAAGGACACTGTCATCTCCTGAAGTGCTACTTTCACTTTCAGTCTCCATTTTGTATCCAAAAAATTTAAACCTCAAGGCGTGAAACAAAGAACACCACTGTTCGGGTGGTTCAGCCGTATTTACGGACACTCAGGTGTGTGGCTGAAACGCCAGTGATAGGTGATCACGCTGTGGCACCGTCTATTTTACATGGCAGTTTAATCACAGCTGGGGTAGACAGGAAATCACGCACAGCACACTCAGTGCGTCTGACTCTGGCACCTGTGACACCACGGATCCCTCCCATTGCCCTCAGGCCCTATGACCTAGATAATCAAAAGGAGAGTCCAAACAGAGGTGACTTTACAAGGACTGTTTATTACTTATTTAACGACTGGTTTTTCCTTCTCAAAGTTCCCAGTTAGTAAGCTGAAAATAGGTACTTAAAAAGCTAGTTTTTCTTATTTGTATCCTTTTGCTATCTCGGACTCAAGAAAGGTGAACAGAAAACTCAAAACGATAACACTATACATAAAAGTCTTCCAGCAAACACAACGAGAGGATCACAGTTAACAGACAAGATAAGCATGGACCTGCCCACCTTCCTCCCTTCTACTGTTATACCCATCCTTCCTTCTGCTTAATAATAACTGTCATTGACACCTTGGCACAGGTATTCAGAGTGGGATGAGAAGGCAGCATTCATATGGCCCTTTAAAGACAAAAAGTAAGTGTCACAAGTTAAAAGACGCTGACAGTTACACCAAATAAAAGGAGCAAAATTTATACACCTATTTAAACTGCAGATGTCCATGATGGCAATCAAATTATCACCTGGGAAAGGAATGAGAACAACAGCATCTATGACAATGTCAACAGCACAACACTACTTAGAAAACAAGCCATGTTGTTACCAACACTCACAGGACATACATGCATGGTCATTTGCCTTTTGCTGCATAAGAACAAATAGATGAACCTTGATTTTCCATTAAATATGACTGGACGTTGAAGGTACGCACTAAGATACCCCTGAATTTTCATATTTAAAAATAAGGAAAATGAACCCACTAGCTGACTCTGCTTATACAAACAACACCTTTTTCCTTTCTACAAACCTACAACTGGCGTAATGTGTTACTGTTTTCATACTGCTGCTTCAAAACTTTGTACAGTTTTAATCTACTGACTGTAATCTACTGATATGATCAGAGGAGCCCTGGTGGTGCACTGGTTAAGCACTTGGCTGCTGATCAAAAGATGAGCGGTTTGAACCTACCAGCCCCTTCGCGGGAGAAAGACATGGTAGTCTGCTTCCGTAAAGATTAAAGCCTTGGAAGCTCTATATGGCATATCTACTCTGTCCTACAGGGTCACTGTGAGTTGGAATAGACTTGCCGACAATGGGTTTGGACTGTAATCATTAAATGTATTCTTCCTTCTTGTTGTTGCTAGCTGCAGAGCCTGACTCACGGGGACACCCTGTGCGCAAAGTAAAACTGTGCCCAGTAGGGTTTTCAAGGCTCTGACCTTTTGGAACCAATTTGCTAGGCCTTACTTTTGAGGCCACTCTCAGTAGGTTTGAACCACCAACCTTTCGTTTAGTAGTCCAGCACTTAACCATTTACGTCACTCAGGGAGTACTTATATTCCTGCTAGAAATTAACATTTGTTGACAAGGAAACAAACAAATATCTTGCAACATAGTCTAATAATTCCCACTAAAGACAAATGCATAGCAAGCTTGGCCTGAATAATTATTAAACATAACAAAAAGAATGAGCAGTCATCTAAGATACTCTACTGGTCTCACCCCTTCAGGAACAGGGCAGAATGAAGAAAACTAAAGATACAGTGGAAAGATTAGTCCAAAGGACTAATGGACCACATCTACCACGGCCTCTGCCAGACTGAGTACAGTACAACTAGATGGTGCCCGGCTACCACCACTGACTGCTCTGACAGGTATCACAATAGAGGGTCCTGGACAGAGCTGGAGAAAAATGTAGAACAACTCACAAAAAAAGACCAGACTTACTGGCCTGACAGAGACTGGAGAAACCACCAGAGTATGGCCCCCGAACACCCTTTTAGCTCAATAATGAAGTCACTCTCAAGGTTCACCCTCCAGCCAAAGGTCAGATAGGCCCTTAAAACTAAATGAGACTAATGGGGCACAACAGTCCAGGGACAAGGACTAGAAGGCAGGAGGGGACAGGAAAGCTGGTAATAGGGAACCCAAGGTGGAGAAGGGAGAGTGTTGACATGTCATGGGGTTGTTAACCAATGTCATAAAACAATATGTGTACTAACTGTTTAAGGAGAAACTATTTGTTCTGTAAACCTTCATCTAAAATACAATAAAAATAAAAAGTAACAAAAAGATCACTGAGATATCTCTATAACTCCTCTATCTTTTCGAAACATTCTTAAGAGATAGAAACTAAGTTTAATCCCTTCCTCACTCCTTCCGTTAAAATAAATCCCCAATGGATCAAAGATTTAAACATAAAAATAGAGCCGTAAGAGAAAATCATCTCACAGTGGGGAAGTCTTTTCTAAGTATAATTTTTAAAAGCCCTAAAACCATAAAGGATTGATGTACTTTACTATATACAAGAACTATAAAATCTTCCATCACAGCAACAACACCAAAAAAAAAAAAAAATGAAACAAGCCAAAAGGCAAATAAACTGAGAAAAAAATTGGAACACATCACAAAGGGTTAACATGCTTCATATATAAACAGTCCCTAAAATTCTCTAAGACCCGATAATCCAAAAGCTAAACAGGCAAAAAGCATAAACAGAATGATCATATAAAACACCAAAGGACCATAAAACATATTAAAATGTACTTAATTTTACTCATAACCAAAAAATACCAAACTCATTGCCCTCGAGTCAATTCTGGCTCGTAGTGACCCTATAAAAAATGCAAAAAATTACAATAAGATGCCTTTTCTCACCTATCAGATAAGCAAAGATTTAAAAAGGTTTTAACAAACTGTTTTGACCAAGATACGGGAAAATAAACACACACAGTATGGGTGGGAATATAAACTGGTACAACCTCTGTGAAGGGTAATTTGGCAAAATCTACCAAACCTCAAAAAACACATCTTTTTGGCCCAGTAATTCCCCTTCTAGAAAAGTATTCTACTTTCTCATGCAGAAATAAGAGATGAACGAAGATACTCACGGTAGTATACTTGATAACACCAAAATACTGTCAACATCCTAACTTGCTCTTTAACAGAAAATTGGATAATTAAATCATGGTCTATCCAAAGAACAAAATGCTATACAGGTGAGTAAAATAAGAAACACAAAGCAGCTGCACTGATCGTGATACGGAACAAACTCTAAAACATAATGTTAAGGCAAAGAAGAAAGAGATGACGTAGAATAGTATACATGCTATGCTGCCAAACATATTTTAAAAGCAGCAGCAGCAGCAGACACACAGAGTATCTATGGAAGGGTACCACCAGTAACAGCAGCTGTCTCCAAGGGGAAAAACTGGACTGCGGGAGAACAGAGATGAGCGTACACTCAAGTTCACTACTGGGGAAGGAGTGGGTAGAAGACTACAAAGCAAAAGAGCAGCAAAGCACGAGTAGAACCAAGGGCTCGATACTCTGACTTCAGTTTTCCTTTTACCACAATGATAGGAGTGTTATTATCAAAACTGTTCAATAAGGCGCATGGGACACAGCCAAGAGATCAATAAACATCTTCTGACCTGGGCACCAAGCTTTCTCCTCAGAATGCTTCGCAACTGGGACTCTAAATATGTTGCTGCTGTTGTTATCGTGTGCCATTAAGTCGATTCCAACTCATACAACTCTACATGACAGAGCAGAACTGCCCCATAGAGTTGCCTATGCTGTAATCTTTATGGGAGGTGATCTCCAGGTCTTTTCTTCCACAGAGCTGCTGGTGGGTTCGAACTGCTGACCTTTTGGTTTGCAGTCAAGCGCTTAACCGTTGTACCACCAGGACATGCTAAACAGACTCTTCAGAAAATCACGTATTCTAAATGTGAGTATGTGTCTGTGTGCGTAATATACGCGTGTATCAAATAACTGTTAGAAAAAAAAAGCAAGAATCTTTCTAAAACACTTCCAATGACTGAAGATCTTCCTCTATATGTACAAACAGCAATACATACTATACAAATCTCCATTATTAACTAATTTTATACTAAGTGTGCATTCATTCTAAATTTTAGATTAAATTGTTTTTATAACAACCACCTTTGTAGGTATTTCCTACATTTAACTAATTATATTCAAAGGAACAACTATTTCATTCTTTATTATAGAATATTCATGTATTCTGTATCATCACACTTAGATATTTGCTTCATTTCAAATATATGAGATAAGAGTAAACAGTTAGTGCATATATGATGGCAAATTTATTTTATTAAAATATCAAAAGTAAAGAATCCATTAGGGAGGTAGGGCCAAGACGGCAGAATAGTCCGACACTTTGTGGCAAGGGAATTGGCTATATCTGACAATCTAGGAATCCTAAACATCAAAGACAAAGCTGAAGAATCAGACTGAGCAACAGGTGGAAGAGACAATCCAAAAACAGCAGAAACGGGGAATTACAGATCACCAGAGTCCTGCTACCCAAACCTGCACAGCATGGACATATTGAGACAAGACATGCATCCCACGCCGAAACCCACGGCATCTGGAGCGGCTAAGTAGGAGTGACTCTGCATGCACCTCCAGAATCAAACAGAAGTGCCACCAGACCTGCAAGTGTTAAGTGCATGCTTTCAACCCCCCACGCGTACCACAGTCTGCCCCCCTCAAAGCAAACAGGCTGAGGAGCACTTCCTCTCCTTCATTCATCCCCCCCTCCACTCTGATCCAGTCCAGTGGCAGTCTAGTGTAGGGGGTATCTTGAGTTAATCTCTGTTGAGATATAAAAGAGATTAAAGAAGTAACTGAGCTAGCAGAGATGGGGGAAGACACATGCCAAGCCACATGAAGATCGCCCAGAAGCAGAAGCTCAGAAGAGACAAGGACTTTCCTCCAGAGCTGACAGAGAGAGAAGGCCTTCCCCTAGAGACAGCACCCTGAATTCAGGCTTCTAGTCTCCTCAACTGGCAGAAAATAAATTTGTTTGTGAACCCTATCCACTTGTGGTATTTCCATCACAGCAGCACCAGGTAACTAAGACAGCTAGTAAAGCAGAGGGTCAGCAAAAATGAGGGAAACTCACAATGAGATGGAGTAATAGCCACAACAAGGGACTCAAACATACCAAAGGTCGCAAAGATGGTGCAGGACGGGGCAAAGCTGACTCAAGGACAACTAACAACACCAAAGCCAGCGTGCTTTAAAAGCTCACGGCATTGCACAAATTTAAGAGTCTCTCCCACTGAGCTAGTTAAAGAAACGCCAATAAAGCAAATGTCTGCAATCTACTGCTTTATCTACTGGTCTCCTTACCTGGATAGGGCCTTAGACTGAGAAATGGTGGGAGCTCACTTTAAGAAGTTGGTTTGGAAGTGGAGTAATTGTAGCAGCCTTATCTTCTTCTGCCTCCTCTCTCGGTATCACCCAGAGAGGGTGGCAAGATACAAGTGGGAGTCAAAGAAAACTGGTTGCTTAGAGAACATTCAATTATTTACAAAATTAAAGTCATTTTCTCAAATCACAAGCATCCTATCCTCAAGTAACAGAAGCTAAATCTACACTTGTAAGAATGGACCTGAGGCGTGTTAGTTACTCTGATTTAAAATAAGTTTACTTCTACTTCTGGTATCAACAATTCTTTGATTTTACTTTCCTAGAAAACCGAATCAAGCTCC